CATCAAGCATGAACAGATAAAAATATCAAACACGTACAGATAAATATCAAGCACGGACAGATGAATATCAAGCATGAACAGGTAAAATGTCAGGCACGGTGTAACATTTTGTCAATCCATGCTTGATTTTTCACCCGCCCAATGCCTGATAGTTTAGTCCAGCTCGGCTTGCCATACATAGGGACCTTAAGGTGTCTAACTCTTATTTCTTGATTAGTGTGTATTGTACTTTTTCAAATTATGTTCAAATTCAAGGTAAATAAATCTAAATTCAGTTTAAGATTGTCATAAATATATTGATTGATTTACAACAATTTTTTTCACAAGAATTTTTTTAGATCGATCAAATGTAATATTTTTAATAGCAACCGCGTATATGGAGTGTACCAGACATTGTTGTTATACCTATTCCTAAATATCGAGTGTTTCAGAACCCAGAAATATATATATAGGGTTAGGTTATGAAAAAAATTTTTTGCTATGGGCTGTACGCATTTTTTCAGGGCCGGAATTAAGATAATGTCAGTCGGTTACTATAATAGAAAATAAAATTCTGACTGGCATTATCAAAAATTATCTAAAAAGGTGATTTTTTTAGTTCAAAGTACGCAAACTCAATTACTCAAACCTGACCCTTTTATATATATTTCTGGGTCCTGGTGTTTCCCGGGTATGAAAAAAACATTAATCTGATTTAAGGTAATTTGTTGGTAAAGGTGTTGAAGCTGCAAAATACTGCCATTATTTCCGCTATATTCTAGAGAAGAGAATAATGGAAAAAAAGGTTTTTTTTTCCTAGAGTGTAAATTGTTTATTGTTTATTTATTTATTTTTTTTTTAATGAAATTTCTATATAGCGGGAGAAATATATTTGGAAAATATTTTCAACACAGAAAACAAGAAATGAGATTTATAGATTTATAATATTTATAATATTTATAAGAAAATTTTGATAATCGGCATTGACGCAAAGATGACGTAACAAAATAAATTTTACAGAGAATGTTTTTTTGACGATCTATGAATGTAAGAGAAAACTATTATATCTCTTTGTTGACAAACGCTGTAAATTTTGTTACTTCCTTTTTATAATTTATTATATCCTTTAATAATAGTATTAAAAAATGAAAGTATTTTATTTACAGTACGTACATTACTTATCTATATAGTATATATAAAAGAAACTTTATAATATCAGTTTAATATAGTACTTTATCAATTCTCGAATTTCCTGATCTTAAAAATTTGTAAAAGAAAATTTCCTTATTTGTCCCTTTGCGTAAATTTTTATTGGGATAGTATACTGTATATATTTTTTACGATTTTTTCATTATCTAAAATGAAATTCCTATTTCCCAAATATTTAACTAGTTGATCATTTTTGTAGAGAAATTAGAGAAATTACTTCACTTTTTATAATTACTATCCAACGAAAAGAAATATTTAGAATGAAATTATCAAAATTTCATTTATTTTATACATGAAATTAATTTTAGAACAATTCAATGTAAACGCCTTATATTTTTATTCTTACTTTAATTACGGAGCTATGGTTACTTATTCTTTCTATTGTTTAACTTGCATATTTTATACATAATATCCATATTACTAAATAACACTACATATGACTACGTATCAACTAATATAATTTACATATTATTAGATCAAAAGGTCTTTCTTAGTTTAATATATCGCAAAAATACAAAGTGTGAAACCTAGCCTATGAAATGCATAAAGTTTTTAAAAGCTTTTTAATTATTGCAAACATGCAATATCACACTCACATCCTACCTCAAAATAAATTATTCTATCAATGGAAAATTTTAATAAAATAAAATGTCTTATCAATACAAGTTATTCTAAATACTACATGTGATAATGTGATATGGTTACTAAATATATAATTATATAATTTTGATATTAAAGGTCTAGGATTGGGTGGTTTGAACTTATCTCAGCTGATTGGTAAGTTCCACTTATATTAATAAGTAATAGTTAATTAATAAGGTAAGAATCTTTATTTTCAATGATATTTAATAAATTAATTAATTGTGTATATTCCGCTATATTTAATTGATTCAACTAATCAACGTAGCGATTTTTCGGTTCTTTGGCTTAAAGTGTAAAATCGTTATTTTATTTTATTTTTTATTTCTCTATTTCTTTTGCAAAAATGAAAGAAAGATTTTTAAAAAATAATACCATATCTTTTATATACTATAAAGGTTTTCAAATAAAATTACATATTCTCTTTTCTCATTGTAATTCTTTTTATCATCTTAAGATCAAATATGAATATTATCATCCATTTTCTATCAACTAAGAGTCTTGGACTATAGAAATGGATAGTTTAATGTTTTTTCTGTAAAAATCAGCTTAAAGGATTTTTTTAGACTTGTAGATCAGTTTTCACTCCAAGGATGGAATTTTATATGGTCTCCTGTTAGTAGTGTGCATCTTGCTCTTGACCTTTAGGTATAAATACCTTTAGTATATCCCTCCCTTTAACCTTTGATGTATCCTACCATTGATCTTTGAGTGTATCTTATTTAATTTCACTCTTAAATTGATTGCATTTCTTTATTAATTCTTTTATATTTCTTTTATTATTGTTTAGTAAAAAAGTATTTCGTTAAAAATTGTAAATCACATGCATTACTATTTACTATAGTGACTCAAATTTCACATTAGTATAGAAGATTGTTTTTTTTTAATTGATAAACGCATTTTTTATCTAGTAAATGTAGAAGAATATATTACATGTTAAAATACAAAAAATACATTGAAATTTAGTTTATACTAAACCTCTCCATGCCAAAATCTTCGTATAATAAAACGAAGTAATGACTAACGTAACCAGCTTTATCTAAAATTCTTGTATTTAACTACCATTACGCACGTATATGCAAATATGTTACGGCTTAATCAAACTAAATAAACTAAACATACTAAAACTATATAATATAACAATAAAAATGCCCCAAAACATACAAATCTAACTTCCCAAGCCGACTAACACTGGTAATTAATTCTATATAGAATCTATGGTTTTCACGGTTTACCTGCAACTGCGGATAAGATTAATCCAATCACGTGACTTTCTGCGCTTTCCCAAGATCGCTAAAATTTTTGCTGATCTATATTTCGTGTCACAAAAAAATCACCTTATCATTCATTGATCTAATTGGATTCTAATCGCGTGCTAAAATTTTGCTGTGCCGACCGAAAAATATTTTTGGCGAAAATTCCCAAGAAACAAAAATCCAAAAGTCCTTTTATCTTTTTTTTTTTTATTTTCACGACCTTTTGTACCACTTCCTATCAAAACTTATGGAGCAACGTCTTGCCCTACTTGGCCCTATTTTTGGGTCGCCACCTTTTGCTGACAGGAAGAAATTGTTGGGTGAAAAATTAGAAAACTATTAGGTAACACCCACTAAAACTTATATCCAATTGTTCGTAAAGAAGTGAATAAACAGTTGGTTATGGTGAAATGCATTAAAAATCTACTTCTACTAGGCACTTTTTGAACTCTTCCACCTTTTATTCCGTCCTGGAATTTGTGGACATGATGATCGGCGGAAAGAGTTCCAGTATAGCAGCTTGTTTATTTAAATACTGTATCATGTGCGTGATATATATTAATTCATCATTATTACTAAGAATTCAATTAATATCACCATACTTATAGCTTTCTTTACTTCTATTGTTATTATAATTATATACTTGCATTATATTTTCAATATTATATTTTCAATTTTAGATGTCAGTGAAAAAATTTTTTGTCAGCTCAACTAGTTGGTACATTATTTGTATTATCCCTATTTCTAGAAAAAGCCTAATACTGTAAATGATTATTTTCATGGATATTAATCCAAAAAACTTGTATATATAATCAACCAGTAATAAAAATTTTTTATAGGATATAAATTAAAAAATCAATTATCAAATGTGAAGGTGTTAAGATTATTAAGAATATTATTTATTTACAGGACAAAGACAACTTTCTGTGTAAAATTAACACTTAGACATGCTGGATATTTTCCATATAAATATTTATCAGGAAATGTTAACAAATGCTATAAACAAAAAATTTCTAATAAATATTTTACAATTTGACCATTGGACTACCTGTCAATGCTTATTATAAAGTTAAAATAATTATGTATAATGTCATCTTAATAAAATAATTTCTTAAATAAATAAAGAATATTTTTGCAGGTTTTAACAATATAAATAAAATACAATTAGCCATTGAAATGAATATAAAAAATTTTACATTATTTATTTTTGATTTTATACATTGGAATTATTTTGATAATTTATATTTAATAATTGGAAAAGTTAAAAAAAAAAAGAATTATTTAAATTACAAACTAAGAAATTCGTAAAATATTTACTACTCTAACCTTAGTGTTTAAAATAATTCTAAAAAAAAGAGAATACATGTATGAATAGAACATAAAAAAAAAGAATTATTTAAATTACAAACTAAGAATATTGTAAAATATTTTACTAGCCTTAGTGTTTAAATAAATCTAAATAACAATTTCTGTTCAATGTATGACATCAAATATCACTTACGAAATAACTATAAATTCTTTTAAAAACACAAATAATTACTAGTTATTTTTTATCTGCTTTAATATCTAAATAATCAAATAAATAAACTTAATTTACAATAAATAATTTGCAAAATTAATTCTTTTCATATATTATACTACATACCTAATGACTTCAAATCAAATATGCAATCATCCAAATTTTTACTTACTAGCATTTCATTCACTTTTACACTAGCTTGTGAATCTTCACTTTCTTCATTCACTTTTTCACTAGTAGATTGAATTGAATAAAAAGCTTGTGAATTTCTACTTTCAAGATTTTCATTCAACTGTCTACTAGTAAAATCAAGTAAGCGACTTGTATAACATGCTTGTGGATGAGATTCAGTAGCAAGATTATTGTTATGCCCAATTGGCGCATTTATAAATTCAATAATATTGCATTTTAATTCTTCATTAATATATTCAACAAACACATTATCTGGACGAAAAATCCATGCTTTAATAATATTCAACACTTCTTTAGAAGATGGCCTTTTTAATGGGTTTTCATCCCAACACTTTTTCATCAAATCTACATAACATTGTGGAGTATTTTCAATAATTTCAGGACGTTCACCTTCACAAATACTTAAACTAAGTTGTAAATCATGTGCTCTATTATTAAATGGTGGTACCCCAGAAATAAATTCCCACATAATCATAGAAAAACTATATATATCACTAGCCGGAGTATAAGAATTGCCTCTTAAAACTTCTGGTGCCATAAATGGTATAACACCATAAATATCATATTTTTTCAAAAATGATTTTAAAGGTTTACATAATCCTAAATCACTAATATAAACTTTACTTTCATTATGATTTAAAATATTGCCATCATGAATATCACAATGAATAAGATTTTGTTTATGTATATCATTAAGTCCAGAAATAATTCCAAATAACATATATAATTTTTTATTCCAACCTCTTTTGATTATTCTTGTTAAGTTTCCTCTTAAATTACCTTTATTTGCATAATCCATTACTACCATATATTTTAAAGTATCTGGGTCTTTTGTAAACCCATAAAAATAAATAATATCATGTGAACTTAAACAACTTTTATGATATTCCCACTATAAAAAAGTAATAATACATATTAATATAAATAAAGCATAAATCAAATTAAAAAAATAAATAATATATGATTATCATACTTCATTTAAAAATTCATTTAAATTTTCACTTAATAAATTATTATGACATTTAAGAACTACTTTATTATATTTATAAATAGCTTTGTATATAGTACCAAATCCTCCTTTATCAAGATATTCAACATTTTCAAATTCATCATAAGGAAACCATTTTAATTTATTTTCCAAAATAAAATTATCCATAATTGCATCTCCACTTTTTTCATATCTATATATAAATTTAACAATTAAAATTAATATTGAAGTTTTATATTAAAAATTACACTAAAATTTAAGATTAAAATCAACACTTACGCTAAAATTTAAATAGAAATTTAATAATAAATGTCTTAGTTTTTGTACAAATGTATATAATAATAACCTATATTTCACAACTTACCAGCTAAAGTAATAGAAATTTTATTTTTATATAAATATAATTCAATTAACAATAAATATTTATAAAGTATATAACAATAGAAAAAACAAATAACTTACAAGCTATATTATTAAATAATTTTATAGATAAATAATTTAGTTAGTTTAAATTATATGTAAATATTATAAAAATAAGTAATAATAGAATTAAATAAATAACTTACTATCTAAAAAATAATTTATTTAACAAAAAATTTAGTTAGTTTAAATTATATGTAAGTATTATAACATTAAGTAATAATAGAATTAAATAAGTAACTTACTCTCTATAAAATAATTTTATAAATAAAGAATTTAGTTAATAGTTTAATAAATAATATGTAAATATTATAACAATAAGTAATAATAGAATTAAATAAATAACTTATAACTTAC